TTCTCGCAAAACCAGCCAATGTTAGAAAGTATTTTTGGTGCTGTTAACAAGCACCAAAATGAAAGTATTGTCAGTAGTAATTCCAGGTACACCCGGATTGTTAGATGTACCTCTGTGTCTACATTTGAGGAATGGCTTTACAAGTTATAACAAAATTATAACAAAGTTTGGACTCTAAGAATAAATACAGATTGGCTGATCAGATCGTCATATCACCAAGTGAAATGGTAAGTATGATCAAAATATATAGAGAATGCTTAAATTTTAAAAATTTACTTTTGCAAAAGAGGGACCAAGAGATGAAGGCAGGGGGATGGAAAGAAGGGAAAGGGGATAAATAAAAGAATAAATATGTGTTATGTACATATACCAACACCTTATGAGGAATGTAATCATTATGTACTGCAACATGTAAAAAAATATTTTTTAACTTACTGCACTAAAAGACACATTGCCACTAGTCCACCTCCAAATACTCCTTGCTTCAATCACACCCAATTACTCTTGCCACTTTCTAAGGCAGCTCTAAAAGTCCTCTTTTGTATCTTTACAAGGTATGATAAAAAATGTGATGAATGCAGCTGTTGAGTCCCACCCAACAAGCTTGTAGAACATTCTGGATGTCCTCATTTACCTTGTTCACCAGATCTGGCACTGTGTGATTTCTGCCTCTTTGCCAAAGTCAAAATGACCATGAAAAGTAAAGGTAATAAATCCATTCAGGACATTGAGGTAGCCTTGATGGCGCAACTACAGACGCAAAAAAGAACTTCAGAACTGCTTCAGAAAGTGACAAGGATGACAGGATAAGTGTGTTCAAAGCAAGGGGGATTATTTTGAGGATTAATGGCAATGCTTTTTACTGAATTAATTTTTAAAATTTAAACATTTACCATTTTCCATCCTACCTTGTATTCTTTCTGTCCAGTTCTGCAGTCTAGGACTCTTAGTATTCAGCTAGGGTTGTTTCCACCAGGGAAACAGTTGTCCCATTAAATTAGAATTTGAGCCTACCATACTCATTTGGGTTTGCAGATGTCAGCTGGTTACACTGTTAAAAGTTGTTGGATAGCCCAGGGATTTAGCTTAGTGGTTCCGCCGCCTGCCTCGCAAGCACCAGGTCCCAAGTTCGATCCCCGGTACCCCCCAAAAAAAGTTGTTGGCTACAATGACTGGTTCTATTCATTAGAGAGAACTAGGGTTGTGGCTGTACAGTGGAAGCAGGCAGAAGCATGTATGACTCTCTTAGTCCCTCTAAATTAGTGGCAGAGTATGCATAGCAACAGTATGCATAGCAACAATATGCATGCCCGTTAATATTCATCTCTCTCAGAAACAAAGATGATGTTAGAGGATATTCTCCATGGGTCTAAATTTCTGCCAATCTTGCAAGCGAAACACTTAACTGCCCTTTTTTCAGGACTATATTTTCAAGGATATTTGTGTAGCTGACAATCTGAAAATACCATTGTATCTCCCCTCCACAGGCAAATTTCCCTACTAGAACATACAGTGTCTCCCTCTATTATAGAAGATAAAGAGTTCTCTAACCTGTGTTCGGTAACACAATCCAGTGTGTGCACAGTGTTCATGTAGAATACTGTATTCATGTAGAATCTGAGTGCTGCCTCCATGAGATTTGGGGGTATAAACATGCTGATGCCCATCTATGAATAAGAAATTCCTTTGTCTCTGACACAGAGATCTCATTCTTCTGCCAACATCCATGAATTTGGGGCAGGCTAACTTTAAAGCTTTCAAATTAAAATCTCTTCACAGTTCTCCCCTTCACACTTCTTGATAGATTATCCCACTGAGAAAAAAGCCCTAATCATCTGAGACACTAAGAAAAAACTAATATGGAATGAATGTCTCAAGAAGTACATCTTCTAACAGCTTTCTTGTAATTACCTGCAGAAATGATTCTACAACTATCCAAATTTTCTTCAACTTCTGTCATGGAAGTTTGTTATGTCAAATTCTGTGGCAAACATTTAAAGGTTACTTTAACAACTTTAGTACCAGTGCTTATTTATATGTGAAAGGAAATAAGTTATCCAAGCATTTATTGAGTAAAATACTGTTTATACTACTGTTAGTACTACTGTTTATAACTATCAATTAGTATATTCCTCCCAGTGAACTATCAGCAGTGGATAACATGCTCACTTTGCAGATAAAGAAACTGAGGCACTGAGGGCCAGGTAATTCAACCAAGTTTAGCTTTTTCCACGTCTTTAGCAGAAGCCTTCTCAGCTTTCAGAATCCTATCTGAAATATCCTCTTTCTTACCTATAAATATTATACATCCCCCTTTTCTGCTCTTTTCTTTATAGCAGTTCTTCCTAAGGTACCACAAAATGTTACTTACTTTTTCATTGTCTGTTTCTCACACTGCAATGTAAGTTCCATGAAGGACAGGACTTTTTTTTTTTTCATGGTTGTATATCCCTAAGGCCTAGAACAGTGGCACATAATACTCAATAAATTACTGGGCAAATTAATGATTGGCTGAATCAGTGCATAGCTGAGCCTGAATTAAAACACTACCCTAACCAAAAATCCAGGAAGATCTTTTACTCGACTATTGTACACAGAACTGTAACTGAAGTGACTTGGGAAGAGTGTTTTGACTCAATCTTATGACTAAAGACAAAAAAACCATTAGTAAATCTTTTTCTTATATTGGTATAGATTAACAAATCTGCAGCTACTATATACTCTAAAAAATAAATTTTTAGATATTGCCAGATTTCTCATTGTCAAAAAAAACACAAGCAGTTAAGAAAGCTAAATAAATGCTATGGCATTGGATTACAATCAGAGGGATAAGTACAAACTCATTTTTATGTAGATAGAAAGAAAGATAGAAATAGAAATTAATCTGTATATATGAGTTAATATACACAACACTTTCCTAGCTGTCCTTTAGACAGGGGTACAAGAAGTAAAAACACCCAGTGTCCAGATCTTAGTATTTAAATCCTGTTCTTCAGTTAAGATAACCACAGCTTCTTGGCCAATTTTAGGTCTAAGAAAGGGGAAATGCAAGTGTCTTATAGTATCAGAAAATAAAGAAATCCTTTTTTCAAAAAAGAGCATTTCAAAAGGACAGAGCAGCTTCCTGATGGTGAAAGATCTCCCAATGATGGAAGTTGGATAATTCAAACAGAAAAATGAATGATTATATTGGATTATACCCCATAAAATAGGGTAGAAAAGTTTATTGAGAGATATCTCCTGAGAGACAGGAGGGGTTCCAGAAATGGGTTGCTACCGAGCCCCTTTATCAGGGGTAATTTATACAGCAAAGTCATAATGTGGATACAATGTGGGTAAGAGTTCAGTGAGTCACAAAAATTTGAAAGCCTCAATAACAGATAAGCTGATGCAGAAGAATGAATATCTGAACCTGAAGGCAGGTTTTTTGAAATAGCCAAACAAACAAAAAGGAATGAGAGCCTTGAAGATCTTTGGGCCCTATCAGGCAATACCAATGCCCATGCCACAATTATTATAGGCAGCTAAATTAGACAGACATTAATATATAGTCAGAGAGGGACTGGGCTCTCAAGGAAGTTGGCACAAAGAATAAAGACATCAGAACTGTGGCTGGAAGCACATCTGAAGAAGACCAGGCCTCAAGATAAAGATGAATTACCAGGCCTACATTCCTCCTTGAGGGTTAAGCAATAACTTTAGATTATACTATAATTGGTATCAACTGGTCCAGTAAAGTCCAGCTAGACATCAGTCACCCAGGTGGGTGACCAGAGCGTATGAACCCATCCCTTTCCAAAATGCCTTTGGTTTTTCCATGTGTACCCTTGCTACCTTACCTACTTCCCTATTGGATCAATATGACCTAAGCAGCTATACTTGTGATCCCATAGGTCGATTATAGTTTGAAACAAGTTTTTCCTCACTCCTTTTAGTCCTTGAGCCTCTAGTTCCATTCTTTTTCTCCCTTTGATCCTAATGAAATTACATTTTGTACTAAAGTTTTACTTTTTATATACCTTCGCAATATTTAAATTTTTTAATTTCCTATAATCAAAAGGCTCTAAATGCTAAGAAAAAGATGTAGACTGAATTATCATTATAATTATTAATGGGAACTTGATTACAATACAATCAAAACATCTTGAAAATCACTAAAGAAAAATACTTATTAAAATGCGTTGCTTAATGAGAGGGATGGGTCTGTTTTTCCTTCAATTTCACGTATTTATGGATGGATTAACCTTTTGCCATTTTAACAATGAGCCATCAATTCTTGCCTTTTCCTTTCCTTCTTTTTTAAAAATAAGATTTAACTCTTAGGAAACTGTATCCATATAAAAAAGTAGATGGTCAGTGAAATTTTGTTACAACGTCACTAAATTCTCTGAATTCCTTCCTGGTTACACAGTAAAACTTGGTCAGTGATTTACTATTAAAAATATTTTAAGCAATCTTTTAAGTAACCTTTCGATTAGGTCCTCTTTCAATTTTTATGAAAGCGAAGAATTAAAAACAGCCACATTGGATTTGTCACCCAGATATTAGGGTCATTTGCTCTCAGTGCCCAACATGTGTTCTTGAATGATTCCTTTGGCTCCTGGAGCCATGCTTTTGCAAATCTCTGGTGTTTTCACAGGAAGGTTACTAAGGACAGGTCCTGCCCAGGGGATTTACTTTGGTTGTAATTCGGGGATAAAGTGAAGGGTGTGCTTGAAACTCCTGTCACACAGGTACCTGAGGTAACTCCAAACACCTGAGTAAGGATGCTGTACAGACAACTGTGGGGCAGATAACCATCCTTATGCTGCTCTGTGAAGATGGCTGGAGGCACGGTCAAGCAGTTCAGAGGCCCAACTCAGTGGTTTTACTACACTTCTCCAGCTAGCAAGACTGCCCATCTGCCCAAAGCCTGTTGCTCAGCGAATGCCAACAACATCACAGAGGCCTCGAACTTGCATCAAATTGAGCGTCTCAGCCCTGGGTGAGGCACTGCGTGGGCGGTGACCGCGTAGGCGCAGGCGCGGGGTGTAGCGGGGCGCGCGCCATGGAGACCGTTGGTGATTGGACAGAGGGCGCCGGGGGTGGGCCTCTTAGGACCACTTTTAAAAGAAGCGCCTGGGCCTTGAGTTTCAGCCTGAGGAGAGCACTTGACGCCGAGTGAGCAATGGCGGCAGCCGGTGAGCTCTTTGTCTGAGACTAGGCCTGCCCCTGGCCAACACCCGGCCGCCCGCAGCGGTGTCCACCAGAGACAGAGGCGAGAAGGAGGACCTCAGTGAATGGGAGCTGCGCTAGAATTTGAGAAGCCAACATATGCTGGGTTTTTTTTCTTTTTTCTTGACCCTGCTTATGTCTCTCGTAATCCCTGAGTAGATTTAAGGGTTTCCCCAGACTGCTGTCTTTTCTTGGCCTCGTTGTAGTACAGTTTGGGAGAGAAGAGTTCAATATTTATTAAAACTCATACAGCAATCATGAAATCAATTAGAGGGATTTGCCCTCTAGTTATGTGTGTGTAAAAGCTATTAATGGAAAATCAGGGTTTAGGCTTCTTTTGTTTTTCCAGAGTATTCTTCGTATATGTTTTCATTTTCCACCAATTTTATGATTTGTAGGTGAGAAAACTGGCAGCAGTGATTGGTTTCAGAGGTCGAGGGTCCCCAGCTTTGCTCAGATTTTGAAAAAGAACTTGCCCATTCAGCCAGTGGTCCAGATGGTAACTACACCTGCAAGACGTTCCTCTGAAAGTGGCAGCCTGTCAGATATGACATTCAAGGTCACACAAGTGACGGGTATGCTTTCTATTCAGTTGTAGTAGTGCCTTAGTGCTTTAAGATTCTGGGATGGGCAGTATGTTCTTTTGAGCCCCAGGTTTAAATGTTTTCCGGGTGTACTGTATATACATTTCCCAGTGGCTGCTTCACACCTGGAGGGGATCTCACTTCCAACACTGTGGGGGCCTGTAGAACTCATGCTCACATAATTTGTTACTACCTTCACTGCTGAAGGCTTCAAGTGTGTTTTGTCTTTTTGATGTGAGGCTTTAGAGAAAGGACTGTAGTTATGTGAATTTGTATTTCACACATCATTTAGCGTAGTATTAAGTACAGAGCAGGGACACATACTTAAAAATTCTATTGAATTTGAATCACACCAGTCAATTTGTGACCCCTGAGTATGGTGGCAGTATAAAATAGTGGATGAGAGCCGTAAACTAGATTTTAGTGCCAACAGTGTCTTTCTCTATTCTAGGCCTTAGTAACATCATCTGTAAAGACTTTCACATTGCTAAAATTCCTTGGTTTTTTTAAATATCATTAATGATGTAATAATAGTATTGCTTCTTTGGAAAATAGCCTTAGTATGAGGAAAGATATACACAGTAATAGACTGTGCTTATCATGTGTGCCAAAATTATTCAATAGAAAAACACATATGACTAAGTTTATCTTCCATTTTCAAGGATTTAGTGCTTTTTGCTCAGTTTTTAAACTAAATTGACAATGTAAACCTTTTTAGGTAATTTTCCAGAACCATTGCTTTCCAAAAGTCTTTCATCTATTTCAAATCCTGCCCTTCCTTCAAAAAACATATCCAAGGAATTTATAATGAAATACAAACGTGGAGAGATAAATCCTGTGTCGGCCTTACACCAATTTGCACAAAAGCAGCGGGTTCAGCTTGACCTTAAGGAAACTGTTACAACAGGCAAGTACAAAACTATGACAGTACTGGAAAATATTTTTCCTTTAGAAGCAGAACATTTAAGTGATGTTACCTTTGGTTATTGCGTGGACTGGTAGGAATAGATAAATACCAGGTTGACAGATGTACTTAAACTTTTATGTTTCTGCATTAGGCCTTTTGAGCCTCTGAAAATATATAAAAGTTTTATTGTCATCAAATTGTAACTTTTGTGTGTGGTTGGCCAAACTGAAGTCAGTCTCCTGGATTATTTGGGGGTATAAATACTTCTTGCACATAAAACATGCTTTTCTAGTGATATTAAGTATTTGGACTATGATGATCTTAAGAGTATTCTATGATTATAATGCCTAAGGAAAAATATCATTAAATATGACCCTTGAAATTCAAGGATTTGATGTGAAAAGAGCACCTACATAGTTGGTACTGTTTGTAGACTTGTCTGTTAGGGTTTCTACCATTCTCCTTTAAACTTTGCAACCTTTATCATGTACCTGTGGAAGCCTGTTAAAATGTAGATCAGTAAAATGTATGAAGCAGCTTTTGATCTCTTCATGTTATGGCTAGTAATTAGGAAGAACTTTAGCAAAGTGGAATAAAAGAATGAGTGCTTTTAAGAGACATTGACAGGTTAAAGCTAGGGGTCAAAAAAGTCTTTAAAAAATCTTTGTGTGTATATGTACCTGCAAGTAGTTTGATTTCTTTAATTTTCCCAATAGTGTTTTGCCAGTATGGATCTTAAAGCTAGTATCTTTGCAGAGAAATTTAGACCTATTGATTTTAGTAAAGATTGTCACAGTGATAGCAACTTTCAGTTTGTTGCTTTGAATAAAATACCAATAAATTTAACAGTTGACAAAAAATAGGATCATTGTGTAAAAGGTGGCCTCTTTTTAATATAAAAGGTGGGCTTCATCTCTAAGTAATTTGTTTATTTTCCTGTATTAGTCTCAGAATGCCCCTGGAAAATGTAAGCTATTGGTCATTATAAGAAAGACAATAATTTGCGAAAGAAAATTTTCTCTACTCTGAGCAAAAACTACTCAAAAATATGCCTCATTGATTATTAATGGTATTCATTTTATATTCAAAATATGATTGTATAGGTAGGGTATTGAGACTAGGATATCAATATTAACAAGTTCTACGTGTGATTTAGAATCATGTTAATTCTTGAGAACCCTGATAAAAACTGAAGCCAATACTTATCAACAAATATGTGTAATATCTCCTACATAAGAATCAGCTGAGTCCTCTGTTAAGTATACAAGATGCCCTCTGGCTTAGTAAATTTAGATTGGAACACAGATCATCACGAAGGAAGGAATCTAGGAAACTGATGTCTTAGATGATGGGAAGAAAGTAGTACCCAGATGCAGACAGGAATTTTTGATAAAACTTTGCTAAATTTTTTTAACCAAAGATGAGGTATGTTGAAAAATAAGATGGTTAGGGTTTATGTGCCGTGACATTGTAGCTAGCTGTCCATAACCAAAGTGTGGATATTTAGACTGTTAAAATCCACGTACCAACAAGCAAAACTGAAATGAGAATCTTTAACCCATAAATTTATGAGATTATTCTGTTTCATTTTTTATCAAAAAAAATGTGAAAGTAATTTTGGAAGAATGGACTTTCAGTTTAATTCCTTTTCATTGTTGTTTTTATTTTGGTTTTCTTTTTGGGTTCCCACTCCACCTTCCCTAAGGTATAGTAGACTAGTTGTTTACTGTGAGTCTCTGATCAGTACATGAGTTTTTCAAAGGAATTTCTTATGTTTTGGAATTTGTAAGTGTTAGAGGCATCCAGAGATTGGAGGAATTCAGCTTTATTTATCCTACAGTTTAAGGAAGAGAAATGTTACCAGAAGTCTCCTTATTTTATCTCTTTCTGGTTGTCCAATAGATTGAGTGGCGAGCATTATATTAGAAACTCACTGTTACCCCATGTGTGGCTTATGCAGTATTCTAAAGTTATTTCTATTGTGTACCCTGAATCTGGAGCAAATCCAGCTATTTGAATCCTCAGAAGTAGATCAAGGCCCCACCCAGCTTTGGTTTCAAACCCTATCGGACCTACAGAAAAATTGGTGTTTTGTTTTCCAGAATTTTTGTTCTGGGATGTTTTCCTATATACAGACATTGTTTTCAAGAATATACTGTGAATTATTGTAGCAGTCATTCTGAGTTCTTTTTCAAGGTAACGTGATGGGGCCATATTTTGCCTTCTGTGCTGTGGTGGATGGTATTCAATATAAGACTGGACTGGGACAAAATAAAAAGGAGTCTAGATCCAATGCAGCAAAATTAGCTCTTGATGAGCTTCTACAATTGGATGAACCTGAACCAAGAATTTTAGAACAATCAGGTAAATATTCTTGATTTAAAAGTATTGAAAAATGTATCATTTTCCAAAAAATCATCTGATTTATATTAATGAAGTCACTTGGCAACTGTAAGGTGGAAGTTACAAAAGTTGAATAATTTCCTTCAGTTTCTCTCTGTTGATGTATTTAGTAGAAGTTAAAATGCTCTTGCATATTACAGTATCAAAAGATAAAATCATGTTGCTAAACTGCCTGATAATTTATCAGATTATTAACAAGTTCAAGTTTTGAAATGTGCTTTTTCTGTCATTTATTAAATTCTTATTAAGCATATAACCCTATCCATTTAATACTAAGGATTAAATTTGTGGGCAATTTTGGTAAAATGTGCCTGTGTTAAATTCAGTAAATAGCAGTTACTTGAAAAAATAATGACCAGGGGTACCATAAAAATGTTAAGAATGTAAACCCCAGAATCCAGTAGCTAAGGCTGAAATATTGACCCTGGCAGACACAGTATTTGTCCCTTATACCTAAGTTTCACTTGTAAAGTGAGGATAATGATAGTAACAACTGTGACCTATGGCTGTCATTAGGATTAAATAAGTAATACATACGAAGTTCTTCACCAAACCAAATGATGGCTGCTATTATTAAATATTAATTAATTTGAAGAATATGTCAATGTATACATTACCAATTATTGCCATTATTCATTTCATGTTAGACTACATTTTGGTTTACCTGTAAATAAGGTAACTTTTTTTAAAACTATAAAATTATTTTTTATTTGTATATGTTTGCAGTACATGTAGTTTCCAATCATTATGGAGAGGGGTACGTGTACATAATACAACCTGTTTTTTTAAAATACCTTTCCCTCCCTGCTTCTGTCCTCATCCTTTAATTCCCATTTCCTTCCCCATTTTCATTCTTGTAGAAATTAATCTTAGCATATATTTATGGCAGATAATGTTTACATTCTTTGAGGTTGTTAGGTCCCCAGACATGGTATATCTTTATTCTACTCATTTCCTTTTCCACTCCCACTCAGCACTTGTCCTTCATCTCTTGGACCCCTTCCGATTTGAAAGAGATCCACACCCTTGTCTCCTTCCATTCATGTTTTATTTGGTTTGTTTGTTGCCTTGCTCAAATGAGGGATACCATATAGTATTTAAACTTGTGTGTCTAGTTTTTTTCACTCAATATTATATTTTCCAGGTACAATGTCTCAAATCTGAGGCAGTCTTTTTTTAAAGGAAAATATTTAAATTTGATATTAAGCAGTGCCTGTAAATTCATTCTTTTTAAGTATAAATCTTCACTTTATTCTACTCCTGAGTTGTTTTTTTTTTTTAGTCCGTTAACTTCATCTTTATTTTCATTTCTTTCCTAACACTTAAAGTCTGTATGTACTTTCTTTAGTTGAAATCTTATTTCAAATATTTTTGTTTTGTTACTCTTCAAAGCAATTATTTAATAATCAAGTGACGTTTTGCCACTACTCAAAAGTTCAGATATATAGTTTTTCTCATTGCTTTTCCAATGGTTTGTTGTATTTTGGATTTAATAGATACTTAGTGTGTTTTACTAATTTTCATGTTATTTTCTACTCACTACTATTTTTACAGTATTATTAATATTTTAGGGCCAGGTATAATTTTGTCTCTTGGAAGTGTTGGGACTATAATTTCTATTTTATCTTTATCTTATTATAATACTTTGACTTGTTTCTTACATGATATTTGACCTACAGAGAGTATAGATGTGATAGGGAAAAGTTTTAGATAACTTAATAGATTGAATATTAAGGTAGGTGTAGAAGCAAAATAAGTAATGTGTTCTTTTAAGATTTGCTTTTCCCATAACTCCTTGTTTAAGGTGTCCGTCTGTTATCTGACTCTTTAACCAGTAACTTCATTAACCTAACAAAGTTACAATGCCAGGGTGAATTTACAATGTATATATGCCTGTTTTGTGTCTGTGACTTGTAGATAGGAACTGGAATTGTATTTACACATCAAAGACCACTAGGGATGAGATAATGGCTAAAAAGGATATAAAAAGGGAAATGCTGAACAAAGGGGGCTGGATACTAACCAGACCTGTTTCTGGTGTTCCTGCCCGCTCTGGAAGAAATTTTATTATTTTATCTGAATTCTGTGTCTCCATGTATTTCTTTCTGAGATTTCTGCAACAGATGCAGTGGTTTCACTTTGTCATAAAATATACCTTTTTAAATTCAATATAAAATTAGTTCTTTTCTCCTATTTTACACATATATATAAATAAATCTATTGGTCTTTTCTTCTAATACTAATAGTGCTGTTTTAGGTCGTTTGTGTGTTTGTCCAATAACTTTAATTATCTTGTTTTGATTAAAAATTTTTTCTATAAAGTATAATATTAGTTTATTTTATATAATCAAAGAATATTTTAATAGAGAAGTTTAACATTTGTATTTATTGCTTTAATTGTCTGATGTTACCTGGTTTCTTTGCTTTTTTCCTTTTTTGTTATATACACATTTTCTTTGACTTTTTTTTCTAAATATTTGAAGGCCTAGAAGCTCATCTTTCTTCTAAAAATATGAGTCCTAAGGCTACATTATTACTCATTCCTTGCTCATCATGTACATCTAACTAATTTCTCAAAATTAAGTCCAGAGTAGTTCTTTTTGCTTTCTTTGTATGAATAACTCTTAAGAGAAATCCTTATTTTAGTTGGGAGTCTTAGCTTCTGAAGCCTCTTCATTTAAGTTTTCCTGGTCTTTTCTGTCCCTCTGATTTAGTGTCATATTCTTTTTACTTTGGAGATTGAATTGAAAAGCATTTGCAAGGAATGAGACTTTTAAAATCATTGAAAACTTTGAATAAAGCATTCCCTTGGAAAACAGTATTTAAAATAGTAAATTTTTATTCATTAATTTTAATAGCATATTACTTTTAATGTTTATACAGTATTATAAATATAGTAAGTCCCTGACTTACGAACATTCAAGTTGCAAACTTTCTCAGATATACTGTATAAGGCTCACTTTGTTGGCTTACAAATGAATTCAACTCATGAACAATTGTCCTGGAACAGATCTCATTTGTAAGTCAGGGACTTATTGTACAAAATTGTTCCACCTTATCTAAAAGAGGGCTTTATTTTAGCTGCTTTACAGAAGATTGCATTGTTTACAAAGCAAGCGGTATAGTACTATAAGATTAGGAAAAATGGGCTGGGGATTTAGCTCAGTGGGTGGTCCTGCTGTCTGCCCGCAAACACAAGTCCTGAGTTCAATCCCTGATAAAAAAAAAAGATTAGGAAGAATGTACTTGCATAACTAATACCAAAATAGGGAAGACTTTATCAGGGCTGAAAGTTAAGATTTAGATCTAGAATATCCTTGAAAAACCTCGTGTGTTTAGAGGTGTTGGGAGGCGATCAGATCATGCGGATGCTAAATTCATCCTCTGATGAGTTCATAGCTGAATGTATGGTTAACAGATGGGTCCTGGTGGGAAAAGGTAGGCCATTAGGGGCATGAACTAGAAGTATGTAACATCCTTCTCCCTTCTCTGTGCGCTTCCTAGCTGCCACAGAATTAGTGGCTGTCCTCCACCCAGGTCCTTGTGCCATGGTCTTTTTGCCTTAAAGCCATTTGAGCATGGACTGAAAACATGAGCTAAAATAAAAAACACTCCCCTTTTAAGTTGTGACTAGAGAAATGGGATTTTTGTTCTGGCTATACCTGATCACATAGTTCAGATATCTTTGGAAGTGGTTCATGAGAGGAGCATAGAACAGTTTAGAGATGCCAGCTAGAGATAGGATGCTATCAACTGAGGTTGGTTGGAGATTCTGGTTTGAGCTTAGAAGACTAGAATGCTGACAGAAATGCAAATGGTCAAGGTCAATCTCAGGAAGTTTCAGCAGGAAACAGGACTCCATTGGCAGTTGGCCTACAAGCCATGTGTATTACACTCTGGCAGAAAATTTGTCTTCATTTTGCTCATGTCCTGAGTTTTTTTCAGGAGACTGAGAGTAAGCATGGTAGTCTAATTAATCTGGGAGAGAAAACTTCAAAGCAGTACAACATCCAGGCTGTGGCATGGATACTGCTGGCAGCTTTTAGCCAGGTCTGTAGTGAAAATCAGGAGCAAAAAGCTTATATGAAAAGTTTACAGTTTCATCCCAAAGGAAGTGCCTACAGAGTTGGGGCAAAGGACAACATGGTTGATAAAAAGATTAGTATTAAAAAGAAGCCAAGTACTTTGTATCAGGACAGTAGGAAAGATTACTGACTTAAAGGCATCTCAGCAAGAACTCACCCATCACAAACTGAAAGATGCAAAAGTGTAAATATTTGCTTTGAGGCATAAGCCCCAAGATGTCCAGTTTATTAACAGCTGACTAGGAAAGCTTTTTCCAGTGTTCAGCCATTGAGAGACCACTTCAGCCCTGACGCGAAGTTGCCCAGCTACTTCTCCCACTGGTGGCAGACTTTGGCATCATCCATATGGTTGTTGCTGGCTTTATGGGTATACAGAATGCAAGAGTTATGGGTTCAGGGAGGCTTCTACCTAGATTTCAGAAAAAGGCCTGGGAGGCCAGGCAGTGTTCCCCTGAGAATGCAGTGTGTAAAGATGTGAGAGTGAAGCTAAAAGTGTAGCAGAGAACCCAGTAAGTTAGAAATCCCAAGGATATAGACGATTTTCTGAGGAAAGCTGCAGATTTGGGGCAGAGCCAGCTCAAGAAAGAGGCCATGAGGGCAGCAATAGGGCTGGGGCCTATGGAGCTCACATCTCACCACAGCTTGCCTGGGTGCTGGACCTGGGACTGCAGAATTTAATGTTTACCCTGCAGGGTTTTGGTCCTTTCTATTCTGTTATTCTTCCCTTTTGGAAAGGGAATGTTTACCCTACAACGTTTATGTTGGAAGTATTTAACTTTCTTTTATTAGATTTTTATTAGGACTCATAGCTAAGTGTTTGCTAGAGTCACAGAGTAGACTTTGGGCTTAAACTTTTTAGCAGTGCTTGAACTGGTTTTATACTCTGATGACCTTTAGAGACAGACTAAATATATTTTGGATAATGAGATGGACATTTGTTTTAGGGGGGCCAAGGCCAGGAAATGTTATGCTTTATGTCTAAAATGTGCCCCCAAACCTTCATGTGCTTTGAAGATGATTAGATTATGAGGGCATTATACTCATGGGTGGATTTATCCATTGTTGAGTTCAGCTATTATGAGATGGGTCCTAGTTTGAAGTGTATCATTGGCAGTGTGCCTTTAGAAGGTATATCTCCCTCCCTGGCACCCCCCCTTTACTCTCTATTTCATGGCTGCCATTAATTGATCTGTATTTCTTCTGCCCTGGCCTTCTACCATTCTGCCTTGGAGCCAGCTGACTATGGACTAAATCCTCAAAAATCCCATGAGCCAAAATAAACTTCTCCTCCTCTAAGTTGTGGGTGCTGGGTGTTTTGTCCCAGACCCTGACCAAAAACCAACTAAAACACTGTGTTTGATGACCTAGAGTTGGCAAAAATACACAGAAAAATAATCATTCTTGGTTTATTGTTAATCATAGTAAAGTACCAGCTCTTTGGTATTATAAAGTTTCATGTGTCTTAATGCTTGTTGTTGTTGTTTACAGGTCCTCCTCCTATCCCTGCAGAACCTGTTGTTGCACCTGAACCAGCATATGTTTCAAAAGTACATTATGGTAGGAAAGTCCTTGTAATATTCTTTCTTAGATAATTAACCCAATTAAAAGTATAATTAAATTATGCAGCTGAGTGTGGTGGTGCACGCCTATAATCCCAGCACTTGGGAGGCTGAGGCAGGAGGATTGCCATGAGTTTGAGGCCAGCCCAGCCTAACCTACAAAGTAAGACCCTGTCTCAAAAAAAATGCTTAACTATGAAAATTTATACTGACATTTTATCATTCAAACTTTTCATTGTTGGAAAGAGAAAAATTTTTCCCTATGCTTTGCTAAAAGATGAGGCAAATAAGGAATGGAAAAGAAAGATTAGAGGAAGAGGTTTCTTCTTATAAGAAGATAGTTCGTCAGTTTCACGAACTTTCATGAATTTCAACCGCTTTTATGAGAATTCTTTGTGGTCTTGTTTCCTGGTGCTTCGTGGTTATTGGGCATATTCATTTCAAATAATGTATTCACATTCTTTTAAATGCCAGTTATTCATCACTCAAGCCCAAGAAAGGTAAAATTTCAGTTCACATTACTAGTTATGTAATCTAGGACCACTTGCTTCCCTGTGCACCTTAATTACCTCATTTGTAAAATGACCATTTCAGAAAGTCCCTTATAGAGATGTTGTGGGGATTAAATGAATTCATACATGTAAACTACTTATATCAGTGACTGTCACACAGTACATTCTCACCAAATAGCAACTTTCATATTTTATTACAACCTCATCACATTAAATATTGTGTGGTAGTTATCATATCCCTTTCCTGTCAAACTATTAATCTCATGAAATGCAGAAAATTATTCTTAATTTCTACATTGACATTGTATTAGAAACACTTCAGACATTAAAGTTTAGGGTATTTGTAAAATAAAGAAGAGCCTTTCTTTTTTTCATTTTTCAGGCCTGTAGGTTAAGATTTGAAAAGTTTGTGCCTATTCAACCTTGGTCTTCTATTATCTTTCTGAAACAAAGAAAAAGGCCCTGTACATTTCCATGGTTGCATGGAGCTAATGGACCAGACCATGGAAAATAAGCACATTCAAATGACAGAATCCAAAAGAAAAGCCACAAGGGATCAATAGAGCAGTGATCTCTTACCATTCAGCCTCTGTGGACATTTTTGCTCACTAATAAGGTTGAATCCCAAGAATTAGCAAATAATATAGATTGCTGTTACCCTAAGAAAACAGATCATAATTGGTGAAGAAAGAGTATGTAGTTTTTTAAAAAGTGCAAGAATTGAGTCCAGTTTAGAAGAAGGAGAACAAACATTATCCTTCAAACTTATGGGTTAAAATAGAGTTGGGTATTACAAAGAGATTTGGGACCCACAGAAGTCTGTTGGGCAAGTTATAGAGGGAAATTTTTGTCTCATACACTGCCTGCTTTGCCATTTGCTGTGTCTAACTGGGCTGTGTCTTCACTAAAAATAATAGTTTGGCTCTGAATATAGGTTCAAGTTACTTGTAACCTGACTCATGTTACTGAGTATCATTATGAAAGTAGCAACTTGTACTCAAAGAAATGGTGTTAATTGGCATTATATATGTCTTACTTGTTTCTCATCTTCATTCCCAATAGTTTGATGGAATTTTATTCCAGTAGCAATTAGTAGACACAAATAAGGAAAACAGTATTGTACTTGCTTCTCAGTCCTTCACACACATTAAGAACAGATTTATTAACTATTTGATTTAATTACATGCACAATATTCATTATTTATTTAAATATTAAATTAAGATCAGGAGGTATATTGGTATGCTAGTTTTCTCTTTCTGTGTTTTTTTGGGGGATCCTGGGGGTTGAACTAGGGCTTTGCACATATGAGGCAAACTCTCTACCACTCGTCTACAATCCCATGCCCTGTTTGTATATTAATGAATCCCAAATATTCTTTGTGATGTTTCCAATGTGCAGTAAAACATTTTCTTGCAACATATAGAATTCTTGCAGATTACTTTTGTTCTATATTAAAACACAAACAATAGACCACATGATTAAATATATAATGCATAATACATTTAATCTGTGGAAACTTTAAAAAGAATGAAACAGTGCTAATCTCTCTTTTCATATTCAAGACCAAATAAATGCAAACACTGGTGTATACCATGTCCCAATTTTTGTTTATTAAAATAATGTATTTATAAGTTGTTTCTCAAAATATCTATAAGAAACTTATAATAGCAGTTTTGCATCTGGAGAGGGAAACTTGTGAATGTATTCTTCATTTTATTAAAACAGGAATAGTTAAATTTAAAAAAGTAAAACACTAATGAAAGCTACAGTACCTCTCCTATACCATGAATTCTGGTAATAAACAGGCATTAATTTATTCTGCTTTCTCTCAGAGCTTCATTTTGTGATTAATTTTTTACTTTTTTTTTTTTGTCACTGGGGATAGAACTCAGGACTTTGCACTTGCAAGGCCAGCACTGTGCCACTGAGCTACATACCCTACCCTTGACCTTTTTTCATAATATTACTTTACCTATTTTGCCACAAATAGAGTATTAATATTAAGAAAGTGCAAGTTTAATATAAACATGAACATGTTAAAGGGCTGAAATAAGTTATATCCAATGAGCAGAATGTTACTTGAGACTGCTAATTTTGTATTTTTAGCATTCGTGTGACTTTTAGATTATGATTATTAAGCAAGTAAAAAGAATTTCTACGGTGCCTACCTCACAAGCGCAAGGTCCAGAGTTCAATCCCAGGTACCAAAAAAAAAAAAAAAAAAAAAAAGAATTTCTGTCAAAATTATAATTACACATTTCAAATATGTGTACTACATGAGAGCCTGCTGCCAGTAACCCACCACTTCCTGACTAGACCCCATGATTCAGTGACATTCCAAAAGTCCCTACAAACCATAACATATATTATTCTCTGGTAATCCTAGTTATTTCCAACTATTTTAAAGCTCTTTCATAGTTAAGGAGTTTTTAAGAGTGAACATGAGACTATTTGTTTGTTTTTTGTTTGTTTTTTTGTTGTTCTTTTCTTGGTACATTTTAGGTATGCAGTTCATTTACATTTATCATTGAGTGTTTGTACTGTACATGATATATCTTGGTTCTTATTTTTTTCCCCATTACATGTGCACCCTTCACCCCCTCCGCCCTTCCCTATTTACATAGATTTCATTTCCATTTTTTTTCTTTTCTCATAGTTTTTCCTTTCCCTCTTTTCCTTTCCCCTTCCCCTCCCTTCACTCCTTCATCTTTGGACCTTTTTTCCTATTTCAAATTATCAATTATTCATTTTAATCATTTTAACCCTTGTTTATACTATCAGTTTCTCACACGAGAGAAACTAGTCGGTATTTACACGTGTGTGTCCTATTTATTTCACTTAAGAGTATGGCCTCAATACGCATCCATTTAGCTATAAATGACTCTAGTTTTTCGTTCTTTCTGGCTGAGTAGTACTCCATTTTATAAAAAAACCCCACATTTTCTTTATCCAGTTTCCAGTTGATAGGCACTTGGGCTGCTTCCAAGCTTTAGCTATTACAAACTGTGCTGCTATGAACAAGAGTGCACATATATCGCTGTGGTATGATTCTTTTAATTCTTTTGGGAAGATACCCAGCAGGGAAATAGCTGGGTTAAATGGGACCTCTAGTCCTAGTTCTTTGAGGTATCTCCATACTAACTTCCACAGTGGTTGTACCAGTCTGCACTCCCACCAACAATAGAAAAGGGTTCCTTTCTCCCCACAACCCTGCCAGCATTTGTTATTTGTTGATTTCTTGATAGCAGCCATTCTTTCTGGAGTGAGGTGGAATCTCAGTGTTGTTTTCATCTGCATCTCTCGAATGAAGAGTGATGTTGAACATTTTTTCATATATTTGTTTTCTGCTTTTACTTCTTTGTCTGAGAAATGTCTGTTCATTTCAGATGCCCATTTTTGAATTCAGTCTTTGAATTTGGGGGGTCTGATTTTTTTCAATTCTTTATATATTCTAGATAGTAGTCCTTTGTCTGAGGTACAGCTGCTAAAATTTTTTTCCCATATTGTAGGTTGTCTGTTAGCTCTGTTGGTGGTTTCTTTTACAGTGCAGAAGCTTTTTAATAAGATGAGATCCCAGTTGTTGATTCTTTCTGCTACTTCCTATGCTGCTGAGGTTTTGTTCATGAAGTCTTTTCCTATGCCAATGTCTTCAAGAGTTCAACCTAACTTATCTTCCACCAAGTTTAGTGTTTCTGTTTTAATATTTATATCTTTAATCCACTTTGATCTTAGTTTAGTGCATGGTAATAGGTATGGGTCTAGTTTCAATCTTTGCCAGGTTGAAATCCAGTTTTTCCAACACCATTTATTAAATAGGCTATCTTTCCGCCAGTGATGGTGGTTGGCTCCTTTGTCAAAGATGAGGTGGCTTGAGCATGTCTGGAGTTGTTTCTGCATCTTCTAATCTAGTCCACTGATCCTCAGATCAGTTCCTTGGCCAGTACCATGCTGATTTTATCACAGTAGCTTTGTAGTATAGTTTCAAGTTGGGGAATGTGATACCCCCAGCCATATCTCTGTTGCTTAGAATTGCTTTAGCTGAGAGGTAGGGCCTTCTGAGCTGCCATCCCACTTCTCCTGGTCCAGAGGAAGGGGCATCCCGGCCACCAGCCCTGCTGCTGCTCCCAGCCCAGAGGAGAGGGCTTTGGGCCCGCCATCCATCCTGCCACTCCCGACCCAGAGGAAGGGGCTTCCAGGCTGCCATCCATCTGCCACTCCCAGCACAGAGGGAGGGGCTTCTGAGCCACCGTCCCACTGCTCCTGGTCCAGAGGAAGGGCCTTCCAGGCCACCATCCATCCCACTGCTCCCAGCCCAGAGGAAAGGGCTTTGGGGCCACCTTCTGTCCCTCCACTCCTGGCCTAGAGGAAGGGGCTTCCAGGCCACCATCCCTACTGCCACTCCCGGCCCCTGTCCCACCTCTCCCAGCTCAGAGGAGGTGATCCACGCAGGTGCCAATAGCAGCCCCCCCCCCCAGTCAGAATGAG